CAGGACAGGGCATGAGAAACGATGCGGTCGACGGCAGGTGATGATAAAGACTTGGTACGAATGGTGGTCAGCTTCTCTTGAAGTGTGGTTTGGTAATGGTCGATCAGGACCTGCGTAACCTTACAGAGCCATGTCCGATTGAGGGATCTAATATTCGCGTCGACAGCTGATGTTTTCATTGCTGGACGGATAAAACCATCCAACTCAGAGACTTTGCGTTTGAAGGTAAATGCTGGTTGGCCTTGCTGTTGAAGGGTAAGGATTGCCAAATGATGGAGGCACTGCAAAACTTGGAAGAACACCTTCACAAAGGGTTCTTCCTCCTTATGAGTGGGGACTGGTTGGCGTCGGTGGGCTGGTAGTCGTTTCTGTTGTTGGTCAGGTCGATGGTTACCTCTTGATTGGTAGGCTGTGTTGTAGGTAGGTCGGCGATGGGGTGGGATATAGCTGGATGGGTTGGTTGGTGGTCGGCGATTGGTAGGTGGTAGAGGTCGATGGAAGACAGGGCCGTTGTAGGGTACGTGATATTGGTTTGGTTGACGATTAGTGTTTCTATTTCTGGCTTCTTGCCAGTGGTTGTTGTAGTTGGGGAGCATAATGAAAATAACTTGGGGTTAGAAGGGAATGTACAGCGGATGTAATAGGAGGAAACTGTATATGCTAGCGTGAAAATGTTGGGATCAAATTATGCAAATAAGTCAAACTGGGTTTGGGGATATATAAAGCAAGATGAAAAATGCAAAAAAATATATATTTAGGTGATAAATAACGCTAACAATGATGTGAAAAAGTAAAACAAAAACGCAATTGACACGAACCACAAGATGGCGGATAATCCGCTACGTCCGGGACAAATTTGATCAGTTCAAATCTTGTATATTAATAATTCTGAAATGATGCAAACAGAATTTTTCAAATATCTATAAAATTCCGGAAGTGAAAATTTCAACTTTAGAAGCAAATGACGTCAAAACCGGAAGTGATAGAAAAATTTTAAAAACATTATTTTGTTCGTTATCAAAATGTCTAACTGCTTGCAAATTTTCAGATCGATTGAAATAAAATTGTAGAAGTTGAAAAAACCAGTAAAATTAAAACAAGAAAATTCAGCGACAAAAGTCAAAATCTTACATTTTTTAAAGGGTTATCCTTTAGCTACTACTAAAAAGTAACAGACAAAACAAAACTTTCGATGAAAAAATGATTCAGAATTGAAATAGTAATTCGAAAGTCATAATGACTGGCTACGTCCTACGTCATTTGTACATTTGTTAAATAATGTTGAAAATCATTAGATCATGAGATATTCGAAGTTATACGTTTTTAAGGCAGCGGTTACCGTCGGAAGATTATAGACACCGTATATTTACGCACAGTTACTATAGAAGTCAGCAATTCCAAGTGTGATCATGCACTTTAAGAATATATAAGATATTTTGTCGTATGTTAATTAGGTCACGTGACAGAGCTCTTCAAAGTTAAAATCGTGATTTTCAATTGCCTACAAAACTAGAAGTTAATGTTGCAAAACAAAGATGATGACATATTCGGATAGATCTCGTGTAAGGCTACAACTTTTGTGCTGGTCACAAGGTCACCACAGGTCAAATGTTTGGACAATATTGTAAAAAATCAACCGGAAATAACTTGAAAGCAAAATCGAAATTAAAAAATCTGCTCCCACACGATTGTTAGGAATCGTTCACTGACAATATAGACATTAAAATAATACAAATCCGATTAAACCCTGATCCCAAAAAGTACTTTTATAGACAATTTAGTCACCTCAAGATGGTGGCTGATCTAATACTTCCGGGACGAATTTTATCATCTTTGATCTAAACAATTCTAGCATGTTACAAAAAGAATTTTACAAATATCTATAAAATTCCGGAAGTTGCAATTCAACTTTAAGAGCAAATGACGTCAGTACCGGAAGTGATACAAAAATTTTGAGAAATGAATTTTGTTCGCAATCAAAATGTCTACCAACTCGTAAATTTTCAGATCGATGGAAATAAAATTGTAGAAGTTGAAAAACGTTGTTATTATTAAAAGAAAAAAAGTCAGCGACAAAAGTCAAAATCTACAATTTTTGAAAGTGCTATCCTTTATCCTTTAGCCATTACTAAAAAGTAATGAACAAAACAAAAATTTCGATCAAAAATAGATTCAGAATTGGAGCAGTAATTCGAATGACGTTATGGCTACGTCCTACGTCATTTCCGGTTGGGCAAAAATGCGTCATTTTACAATTAAACAACAACGACACGCACTTTAAGACAGATAATGATGTCAGTTAATGTGTGAAATAATGCAGTTTTGGCTGGGCACTCTGACCAGGATCGGGAAAAAAAAAACTAGAACCGTGGACGGTGCTCATGCAGTGCTCATCGGTGAAATGTTGCATTGAGTCACAGTGAGATTTCTTACTGAAAAAAAGCTTGTGAACATTCGGTAGTATAAAATCGATAAACGTTCGGTAGTGGAAAGACCCATGAATTTATACTATTCGGTATTAAAAGGTGTTATTATTCGGTAGTATAAAGTCGAATTTTCAAATGGGTGTAGAACCAGACGTTAACGATGCACAACAAAAATGGGAACATCTGTGGATAGATCTCGACAAGGGTAACGACTTTTGTTCTGGTCAAAAGGTCAACAAAGGTTAAATAAAAGAGATATGAGCCTTCAAAGTTTTGTAAATTGTTGTTTTCGAACCTCTGTAATAGCGGAAGTATGTGTCGGACATCAAAGATCAAAGTATGAATGGACATATGCCACCTCCACCCCGCAAAATTTGGCTATATCAATCATCATCTGTACAATGTTTAATTATGTTCAAAAATTCAAGCATCTACCATTATTACATCATGAGATATACTTTGTTTTTTCTTAGAGACTTAAGTTTATATGGCAAAAACCAATTTACGCACGGCTACTATAGAAGTCGGTACAAAATTTTAAAATTTTAAAAAGCGCAATTTTGATCAAATTATTATATGGAATATTGTTACACGCACACTGAATTAATATACAAAGACAAATAAACACTTTATATAGCATAAATAACAATATATACATAAAGGTTGACCAAGAGTATTTAGGACGCTAGTGGAATCGGGACGATTTGTGGTCGTCTCTTACACGAACAATACAAAATAAAACGAATATCACCTTATTATAAACCCTTTTAACTGACATAACTTTATCTATGGACACAGGAAAAGAAGATAAAAATTGAAATGATGAGGACATTCAATGTTTATAAGTCCTTTGAAAAATATACAGTTAATGGTCATGAGTTCAAGTAAACCATTTTAAAATAAAATACAGAACTCAACCTCACTTAAAACAATTATCAAAGAGGAAAATATACGTACTGATTAACATTTTGATATATAAAACCAGTTATTAAGATGCTTTAGTGTGAATAACCAAAACATCAACTCCTTTATAAATTGTGATGTATTTATGATATATTTTTATATATTTATGTTCATATTTATTATTTGTTATTAAAGACAGAATTGGGTTGAGTTTGTTTTATTTTAATAGGATGGTGGACAACACCTTTCTTATTTGATGCTACATACTTTTCTTTTTATATTATTTTTTTACATGAAAATTTGTACATATTTTTATTTATGTTGATTTCTGTTACATAGTAAGAGCTATAGTATGTATTTACTTTGCTTAATAAAAAAATAAATATACAATTGAGAGTAGTTCAATTAGTAAAGAAGAATTAGTCAAGTTTAATGATGACAGTGAATTAGAAAAAATTACTTACTAATATTAAAACCTATATTCAACAACAAGTAAAAATAAATCATAAATGCAACAACAATTAGCCGATGTTGGAGATAAAACTCAGTTACAAAATCTTAGTTTATTGATTTCTAAATTAGATGATAAGATAGCAAAACAAAAATTAGATACTAAACAGCCAAATGCTAGTGATATAAATGAAGATAACCTACAACAGTTTATTGATAACACTGAATTAGAAAAAGAAATAACTAACATTAAAACCTATATTAAAATTTATTTCGATCTGAAATAAATTACGTTATCATGGCACTGATTAAGGTCGTCTTTGTAGCTTTAGAAATTAGTTAACCTTAAATTCAAAGGGAAGTAACCACATATTCAAATCCAGAGTTATATCCCTTTATGAATGCCTAGTAATCGTTCTCTTTACCGTTAACCTACGCCCAGGACAGTCACGTTATAATAGCATAAGAAGAAATTCAGAATAATTTGTTAAATTTAACAAAATTATTGGCGTATTTCTTTTTATTGTACATAGACCATTTGAGTGGTGTTTACAAATAATTGTGACAAAATTTATTTAGTATTAGGGATCTGATGGCTGTGGATTGTTCTGAATACGGTTTTCTGAATGTCTCAACCCGACCATGTTTGCCCTGTACGGCTGTAGACTAGAACATCAGGGACAAATTCTAATTTTGGATTATTTTAGAACTAGAAGTCAAATATAATTTTGATGGTGACGACCCAAAAATATAACGATTAAGCCTTTAAAATAAATATTTCGAATTAAATACGGTAAGCTATCATTTTGAATAAAACTCCATAATCAATTTCCTACAATGCTTTAGTTTCAGATAAGATGTCTTCTACTAGATCGGGTAGAAAGAGGAAGTCTGGTAATAACTCCCTGACGACTCCTGTTAAATCTAAGAAAAAAGGGTCTCTACAAAGACGTCGAGTGATTCGAATGATAATCACGCCATTCATAGTAATAATATGCCTACGGAGGCTATGGATGATGATAATACAAATTTGGATTTGATTCCTAATAATGTGGATACACCTTCAAGTAATAGAACTACTGGTTTTAATTATAGATACGGGGAATCCAGCTCACAACACGCTGACGGCCATAATGTGGATAGCACAGGGGTCAGTTGGCAAGACACAGAAGGGGATTACCCTGCCTCTAAAGTCAGATCATGCTCAGACCAGTTAGGAATAAATGTATCTCAAATTAATAAACAAACAAGGTATATAATGGTCATTATGTAGATCTTTCGATATTTTTTGCTAGCCCGACTGATCCAGAAAATATTGAAAGAAAATTAGCCGTCCTTAAGGGTGAGATAGTTGCAATTCCAAAATCCAAAAAGAATCAAATTACGGACAATTCCACTACCGAGGTCCAAAGCCAAGAACAAAATAATTATAATAAAAGTTCTGAATAAAGGGTACAGCCCAATTAACGTAAATGTATTAGAAAAAGAGCTAGTGAAATATCCACATAGTAAAATTGTAAACGGATTTAAATGGGGTATTTCGATCAAATATGATGGTCCTCATGAAGCTGTTGACTCTAAAAATCTGAAATCTGCTTATGATTAAAAGTGAACAGTGAAATATTAAAAGGTAGAATATCAGGCCCTTATTGTGTAAAACCTATAACTAATTAAAGATTATCTCCGATAGGAATTATACAAAAATCCGACGGTAAGTCATGGCGACTAATAATGAATTTATCACACCCTCATAATACCAGTGTCAATGATTTTATCCCGCCAGAATACAGTAGTGTGCAATATACCAAATTTGATTCGGTTATAAATATGATAAATGGTTTAGGTAAGGGGGCTAAAATCGCAAAAATAGATATCAAATCGGCATTAAGATTATGCCCTGTCAGACCTGAGGATTTTGAACTTCTGGGTTTCAAGATTGGGGATTCTTTTTAAACGCCCCCATGAAATGGGGGCGTATATTGCCGTCACCTCGTCCGTCGGTCCGTCCGTCCGTCCACAATTGCTCGTAAACACTCTACAAGGCACAATTCTTGACTTGTTATCACCCAAGGATGAACCCTATTGAAAATCAGACGAATCGAAAAATATTTACTATGAGTTATTGCCCTTGTTCTTGAAATGCTCGTAAACCCTCTAGAAGGTGCAATTCATGACGGATTTTGATGAAACTTGGTATGAGTGTTCGTTATCGCCCAAGGATAAACCCTATCGAAAATCAGAAAAATTGAAAAATATTTAGTATGAGTTATTGCCCTTGTTCTTGAAAACGCGTTCAATTTTAGCTTGTAAACACTCTAGAAGGCACAGTTCTTGATGGATTTTGACGAAACTTGGTGTGAGTGTTTGTAATCACCCAAGGATAAACCCTATCGAGAATCAGAAAAATATTTAGTATTAGTTATTGTCCTTGTTCTTGAAAACGCGTTCAATTTTTAGCTCGTAAACACTCAAGAAGGGACAATTCTTGACGGATTTTAACGAAACTTGGCATGAGTGTTTGTAATCACCCAAGGATGAACCCTATTGAAAATCAGAAGAATCGAAAAATATTTAGTATTAGTTATTGCCCTTGTTCTTGAAAAGGCATTAAATTTTTAGTTTGTAAATCCTCTAGAAGGGACAATTCTTGATAGATTTTGACAAAACTTGGCATGAGTGTTTGTTATCACCCAAGCCCAAGGATAAACCCTATTGAAAATCAGAAAAATCGAAAAATATTTAGTATGAATTATTGATCTTGCTCTTGAAAACGAGTTTTTAGCTTGTAATCACTCTAGAAGGCACAATTCTTGACGGATTTTGATGAAACTTGGTGTGAATGTTCGTAATCACCCAAGGATGAACCCTATTGAAAGTCAGAAGAATTGAAAAATATTTAGTATGAGTTACTGCCCTTGTTCTTGAAAGCGCTTTCAAATCTAGCTCTTAAACACTAAAAGGCATGATTGTTGCTGGATTTTGACAAAACTTGCTTTTATTATTTAGTCCCGCGCTGAAGATTGAATATTTGCCTACTAAAGTTTTCATGAGCTAAAAATTGAACACGTTTTCAAGAACAAGGGCAATAACTCATACTCAATATTATTCTTTATCGCCCTAAAGAGTTCAAAAGAAGTGTATGACTGAAGGTTGAATATTTCATACTGGTGATTGTTACTGTAATGCTGAATATTTTTATTCAAAATCAGGGGGGGGGGGGGAAATCGACAAATCGACAAATGCCTACCAATGGGCTGCTCAAGTTCATGTGCAATATTTGAAAAGTTTTCTACTTTTTTGGAGTGGCATCTAAATTTTAAAACGGGTTTGAATTCAATGGCTCACTATTTAGATGATTTTTTGTTTGCCGGAAGATCAAAAACATTTGATTGTGAACTCCTCATGTCGACTTTTGATCACATGTGCCATAATCTAGGTGTACCAATCGCTGATGAAAAAACAGAAGGTCCAGTAACGAAATTAATTTACCTTGGGTTGGAAATAGTGGTTCGCATTCCATCTAAACATATAAAATCATTATTGCTAGTAATTTAAAATTTGCTTAAACATAAAAATACCTCCCTTAAATCACTTCAGTCAATAGCAGGATCGTTCAATTTTTGTACCAGAGTAATAACTGAGGCTAGAGCCTTTAATAGGCGTTTCTATGATGCTATGTGTGGTATTAAAAAGAAACACTACCATATTCGCGTTAACCTCGGTATGGAAGAAGATCTTCGTATGTGGCGCCAATTTTTGTCGAATTTCAACGGTCTTTGCTTTTTTCAAAATACTAAGTGGATTAATAATCAACAATTACCCATTCACACCGATAGCGCAGGTGGAGCAGATCTAGGTTGTGGTGCTTTATTTAACTGTCGCTGGGTTTTTCTCCAGTGGCCATCGAATTGGCGTAGTAAACATTTTCTTCGGGATATATCTTTTCTTGAGCTCGTACCTATAGTTCTAGCCCTTTATATTTGGAGGGAAAGTATAAAAAACAATATAATAATATTTTGGACAGACAACGAGGGGCTGGTATCATAAAGAAACAGACCTCCAAGTCTAAATATGTAATGACTTTAATTCGAAAATTAGTCTTAATTTGCATGCAAAACAATATTTTATTTAAAGCACAACATATTGAAGGTTCTTCTAACGAAATATGTGATTCTATTTCTCGAAAACAGTGGAACAGACTTCGGCAATTGCTGCCCAACGCAGATTCAACTCAGAACCTTTTATCAACTTTGAAGTATAAAGACTTTTGGCCGAAGCAACATTTAACATGAAAAAGGCTTATGAGACAGGGTTACAAAACTCCAATAAATGTCCTTGATTTTGAGGATGTAAAACTAAATGTCTCAGGAGCTAAGAAAACGGTAATGTTAAGAGTACGCATGTCTCAAACTGATCAGTTGGGGCAAGGAACAATTCTGTCAATTGAAGAAGGCGATTCTATGTTATGCTTGGTTAAGTCTATTTCAGAATACTTGTCTGTTAGGCCAAATATTAAGGGTCAATTTTTCTGTCATTTTGGAGGAAAACCCTTGATTCGTTTTCAATTTTCTAGTGTTTTAAATAAAGCTACTACCACCTTAGGACTTGACCAGTCAAGATTTAAAGCCTATTCCTTTAGAAATGGGGCGGTCACGTCGGCATCTATGGCAGGTTTTAGTGAGGATGAGATCAAATTCATGGGCAGGTGGAAATCTGACGTAGTCAAGACTTATATTCGCATACCGTCCAAAAGACTAATTACATACTAAAGAAAAGGGACATGTACGCCATTTTGGGAGGTTGAGTTGAGTCTTCAGAGGTACTACAAAAGTACCAAAATTGCATTGATTTCTTCAATGATGTTGTTTATTTCAGTCATACCCAAGACAGTCTTGATTGTTGGTTCGTCTTTGGTTAACCATGCGGTTATGGCGGCACGACAGTCTTCTCATGGGTTGAATATGGGTTTAAATGCTAAAGTATGGTGGCAGGGAACTTCAGCTTTACGCTGGATCTAACTGGTTCCCAAGTTAAAGCATCTTCTAAATTTTGTTGTTTCAAGCGTCGTTTTTTGATATATTTGAACTGTATATGCGTTGTTGTTGAATTATTTGAACTGTATATGCGTTGTCACTGAAATAATTTCAATTTTATGCGTTGTTATTGTATTGATAATTTCAATTTTATGCGTTGTTATTGTATTGATAATTTCAATTTTATGCGTTGTTATTGTATTGATGTTTATTATATTTGTGCGTTGTTATCTAATTACTTGAAGTGTATATCCGTTGTTATTGAATTATTGGAAATGTTTTACGCGTTGTTAATGAATTACTTTAAATATTACTCTTGTTTCCGTTGCATTTACATGATTATATTCGTATTCTCACGTACGCTTCCACCAAAATTTTTGTATTGAGTCGTACCTAAAGTGTTGGCGGTGAACGTCTCTGTCGTTCATGTGGCGATTACGCGTACTAGTGATCGTTTTTGAGCATCAAATATTCTATAGAAACATTAATTTACTGAACGTCTGAAACCGAACAGAGTTCAATATGACGTTTCAATTATTCTTGGTCGCCCATATACCGTTTAGGTCGGCGACAACTCACTTTGTAACGGAATTTCTATAGCTGCGGCCTACAACGCCAACCTTAATAAAAAAATTACCCAGAATTCTATTGTGTGTTTTTTGTACATCAATGTCCAATGATAATAAAAATTATTTCAATCTGAAATAAATTACGTTATCATGGCACTGATTAAGGTTGGGTGTTGTCGTCTTTGTAGCTTTAGAAATAAGTTAGTCTTAAATTCAAAGGGAAGTTACCACATATTAAAAACCAGAGTTATATCCCTTTATGAATGCCTAGTAATCGTCTCTTTACCGTTAACCTACGCCCAGGACAGTCACGTTAATAGCATAAGAAGAAATTCAGAATAATTTGTTAAATTTAACAAAAAAAACCCTACCCTCCCACCGCCTATTAGGAATGGAATCTGCTTTTGTTTTCCAATTTATATTTACAGGTGATAATAGAAGTGTTTAATTTGCCAGCCGAATCCTGAAATGGTAATTCTACTCCAACCTGTCGCAGCTATATATATTGTTCTGTATTGTTGGTATAATTTATGAAAGGCGATTACGCGTACTTGTGATAGTTTTTGAGCATCAAATATTCTATAGAAACATTAATTTACTGAACGTCTGAAACCGAATAGAGTTCAATATGACATTTCAATTATTCTTGGTCGCCCGTATACCGTTTAGGTCGGCGACAATTCACTTTGTAACGGAATTTCTATAGCTGCGGCCTACAACGCCAACCTTAATAAAAAAAAAAAATTACCCAGAATTCTATTGTGTGATTTTTGTACACCAATGTCCAATGATAATCAAAAACATTTGGCGAATGTATTAGATAAATCTCAGTTACAAAATCTTAATCTATTAATATCTAAATTAGATGATAAGATTGTAAAACAAATATTAGATGTTAAACAACTAATAGATAATATTAAACTAGGTATAAATGAAGATAGATTACAACATGAATTAACTACTCTAGAAACTAAATTTATTGATAATAGTGAATTAGAAAAAAGAACTTTTATTCAACAATAAATACAAAATATTGATGATTGCGAAATTAAAACCTATATTCAACAACAAATACAAAATATTGATGAAAACTCAGTTACAAAATCTTAAGTTAATTGATTTCTAAATTAGATGATAAGATAGCAAAACCAAAATTAGATGCAAAACAATTAATAGATAATATTCCACCAGGTATAAATGAAGATAGATTACAACAGGAATTAACTACTCTAGAAACTAATATTAAAACTTATATTCAACAACAAATACAAAACATTGATGATGGTGATATTCAACAACAGTTAACTAGAATTAATAACGAAGTTTAAAACAGGAAAGAGCGTTTAAGTATTAAATAAAAAAAAAATCAATCAAATGACATTCAAATTGAAATTGTAAAAGTAAATGAAAATTTATGATAAATTGATAACCCTTTGAATATGATAATAAAGAAGGTGAAAAGTATAGATTTGCTGCAAAAACTGAGGGACTTTTATATGGCACCAGCAGATTTAAAGCTATTGCTAAGAAAATCCTATCGATAGCAGAAATTATGAATGTTAATAATACTAAAATGGTTATTTCCTTTTACATTTAAAATAAAATCAGTAATTATTTCTCAAAATGTTTTTGTGTCTCCATTCAATAATTTACGTTTTTGATAGAGATTTTGAACTATATCAAATCATGAGAAGTATAGTATCTGTTATGTACTGATTGTTTTTAGTTTACTATCAACAATATTATCATTTAAGTTCTTATTTTTTGAATATGCAACTATCATCTTTTAAACCTAAATTGCTTTCCAATAGTAACAGTGAGTGACAGTCAATAGTGTAATTAGCACTCCAATATTTACTTTAGGGCGCCAATAGTAAAATTAGGGCTCCAATAGTGAAATTAGAACTCCAATAGTGAAACACATTGATTTATTATATCCGCCTTTTCCTTATGTACGCCTATTCCACTTTGTGCCAAGGACCGCATTTTGGCATCTAATATCTTTCGCAGTGGTAAAAAGTTGAAATATGTATTAGAATTAATATTTCGGCCATTTTCTCTCATGAAATACTGTATAAACATTAATATTTTCGGGAATTGTATTCCCTTGATAATCGCCACCTCTTTGATTTTTCACTTCCGTCACAAACAATAATAATTGATCACACAGGTCATTGTCATTCAGTTCCAAAAGTTTTTCACCGATATTATTTCGACACTAAACATGGTGTTACCAATCGCTCTTTTCTTGGAAGCAAGGTCATACACTGTTTATGTACCGTTAGTTTTGTCATATAATACAACGCACTGGACGCATGGGACTCAATAGAACCGCTTGTGCGTCGATAGTTATTTCCACAAAAGATTCGCCCTTAAGAGCATTTCTTTGTCGCGAGCCTTTTGGTCTCTAGCAATGTTCTTACATTCTATGTGGTGATAGTAATGTTCATCCTCGATGTTTTCAACATCATGAGCACAACACAGATTGCACTGTTTATGCCGTCAAATACATACTTAAAGGATGTTCATTATGGCAGTTTTGAGTATACAAGTTATATAAGCTCATGAAAGTGGGATGTTAGTTTCGGTAAGCTCTCGAGGAAACGCACAACATTACGATACGTCTCACTATCTTTATCAATTGGGCTCTTCCTAACTCTTTTGGGTCGAGGGTGTATGGCAATAGCTGCAATAACATCAACCCACTTAAATAGTTCGCTCACCAATACATAGGGTTCCCAGAAACATGTTCTGGCCAACAGGGATTTTTTTGGAAGTCACTCTGGTCAACTTCAATATTAGATGTTCTCTCTCTTATCTCGCGACGCTCAACTAAACTATTAATAAATACTTTCTTCTCATCCCAGGTCACAGCCGACAATGTGTCAAACATATGCCGCCGATCTTGATCGGCAAGATCATAACATTGCTTTCGCCCTCGATCATTTTGATACAACTTAGGTCAGTTCCGAGGCTGAATACACCTTGTGTTTCTTTTGCCTGCACGTGCTGAATTATATGCTTTACCAGTAATTCGTAAAGCCTTATCTTCATTTCTCTTCCAATTTTCAGGATCTGCTCCACCCCTTTTTGCAGTAGTCCAATGTACCAAAGAACCTCTACATATGTGTCCCCGGTTGTGGAAATGGTTTGAAATGGAATAGGACATAACGGAGAGTGAGATTAAAGTGACACAATAGAATCTAAGTAAAGGTCTGTGTTAGAAGATCAGAGAAGACTGTTTTTGTTATGTTATTTGTAAATATGATATAATTTTATGGTTTGAATGCTGAATACAGTGCGGGGATGAACTTGATACGAAAAATTATAAAACGTACGCATTTCGGAGAAAATACTGTAGGTTTGGGATTAGTAATTTACATTTTGAAATCATTGCCTGATTCCTGTCGCATAGTTCAAAATAGTCCTTGATACAATTATCGTCTTTCAGATTATGTCTAACAAATGTAAAGAAATGGGCATTGTAATTGTTATAGGCGACCTAAATGCACTAACTGCTAATAATGACGACTTTATTAGGGATGACATGTTACCTAAAACAATGGCACAGATATTGTTTAATATATTTGTAATTAAGAATGCAAAGCGTCATAACGAGTGATTTGTTTCGATCTGTTGAGATTTTACTACCAAGACAGCAGGACCAGTTCTGATTGGACAATATTTATCTATGACTGCGTAATTTCTCTCACATGAAATACCACGGTCTCATGGAAGTATGACGAATAGGGGTATATGAATGACCTATAGCAACATTTAAATAATTGTAAATCTTTGAAAATTCCCGATGTATTTTTATTTTTACTTTGTTAAATTCTTTGTATAGATACAGTAGTAAATGGGATATAAAAGTTAATATAACAAAAAGTAAGATTGTAATCTTTAGAAATGGTGGCAAGATAAGGGGGAATGAACAGTGGTCTTTAAATGATATAAAACTTGACCTGGGAGTCTTGTTCAATTTTAACGGGAAATTTCTTGAGACGCAGCAACACATAGCCGACCAAGGTAGAAAGGCATCAGAGACTATTATGAAAGTATGTAAAGAAAATCATTTAAACGTCGAAACCTGGGGCCTGGTTTTCGAAAGTATCGTAAGATACGTCATAAGATATATCTTAAGACAAATTGACTATCATACGACATGTAATATAATGTAAATCAAAGCTTACGATAGTCATACCTGAGATGCTCTTATGGCTGTCATAAGTGATAACATTTACTATAAATAGAATTATAGGAAATAAAAGTTATAGTTATTACTTACAAAATATATTATCAACATTAAATTTTATATGAAAATGAATTAAAATCGTAGTTTGATCATTTGTTTGAATTTAGTTTGTATATTTATTATACTTTTACATTCTTGAACTATTTATTATCTTACATGATGTGTTTGTTATCTAAATGTGAATACTTTTAAGATGTGAGACATCGAGTACATGTAACTGCGTAACGAAATGCTCGTACAAATACTTTGAGAAAGTACTATATAAGGATAGAAATAAAACATTTATATTAAATACAAATCATGAGTAAGAGAAGAAGTCCGAACTTTACATTGCAGGAGATTCAAATTTTGATAAGACGAAGTGGAGAAGAATAAGTCCTTACTTTTCAGCCAACACAGCAATGTAGTAACAAACAGTGCTAAAAACTTTATACTCCATATTTGAATCGCAAACTGCTTGAACATTAATAGAATGGTAGCTTTTTCTATTTACATAAAGATGTTCATCCTCTGTTGGAAAGAAATAAAATGCATTAAGGAGCATCAGCACCAAACGGGCTATATAGCTCCAGAATACGTTAAAATAATGAAAAAACTAAAACAATAAAACACCTATCAATCTCACAAAAAGGTCACATAGTGAAACCAAAAACCAAAACCAAAAAAAAAGATAAAAACCATATCACAGAAACAGTCATTTAATGACTATAAAAACACTAAAAACAACACCACAGGCAACACATCACATGGTGGTATTAAAAACAAACAAAATATTTAAAACAAACAATGACTAATCTATTTAAAATTTAAAATATAGACCGACTTTTTTTAAAAAAGGCACGACCTTCTCATAAAAAGAAGATTGCGCAAATAATTGATGTAAAGATCCATCCCATGTTGGAGCTTTTATACGTATACAATGGCACCGACTACACTTGGAAAGTCTGTTTTTTCATGATAACCTCTCATTATGTTGCGAAGTCCAGCTTGGTCAGTTGGCATCTTTATATAGTCATTACAAACCCTCTTAAAACATGCAGTTACATCACGTGTTATTTTAGATACACTTGGTCTAGATATGTTATGGACATCAGATTGACCATCTGAAAGCTTCCAGAGGCATAAAATCTGAGTGCAACCATTATTTGGAATGAGACTGGAAAGGCACGAGATCTTGCTGTTGACCTTGCTAGGGCTGTTTGGAACATTCTACATAAATCTAGTATCATTGGACGTGAAAGTCTATATCTACATACTATTTGTTCATTATCTATGTAGTCTAGTGGGTTATTTCTGTCCCGAAATACTCTGTTTCGGCGTACGTTTTCAGCTCGTTGTCGAATGTGCATGTAAACAGCAGCCATATTTTTTATTCACGTGATATCGAAGCTATTATGATAATCATAAGTCCATTATAACTTTTATGATAATCATAAGACCATCTTAAGACAGGTCGAGAGGTGTCTTAAGATTACGATGAAATTTATGATTTATCGTAACTTATGACACTTTCGAAAACCTATCTAACGACTATGATATGTCGTAAGACCCTCTTAAGACGTGTCTTAGTCGTAAGATACTTTCGAAAACCAGGCCCCAGGTTTTCAGTTTTAATACATACATTTAACATTGAAACCAGGTTTTCAGTTTTTAATACATACATTTCGAGTATTTTAAACTATAGCGCAGAAGCAGCAGCAAAAGACATTGCAAAATTACATTTAAACTTTTTGAAAAGATACCAGAATCATGTATCTATTTCAAAATAACTGTCACATTTAAGATTACAATCTCAACATTTTCAATATGGTATTTGTATCTTATAAAAATTATATTAAATTATAATGTTTTATTGTTGTTGGTTTATTTGGTTTTTGTATTTATCATTTACTTCCTCTCTTATCCATGTATTTTGTTTTGTTTTTGTATTTGTATCTCACTCTCCTTTCGTTGTATATTATACCTTTCTGTACTTGTGTATATATCCTTTATATATCTGATGAACCAGTGGTTCAAAGAAATAAAGAATTGAATTGATTTTTGATTTTATTGTGTCTAGACTAAAGAATTTCA